CACTGTCATCCAGCATTTAAGCCACATGCAACTACATAACACTCCCAGCAGAAAACATCTTCTCAGACACTGAAAATATCTTGTCTTGATATCTTGGTTTGATGACAATGGAAAGTCCAATGTTTTACAACATTTAGATATTATTGCAACACAACTGCTAGATTAGCTCTCTAGAAAAGCACAGAGAATTCATCAGTCATCGTGTATACATATAGATATGCCAATCCTCTCTTTTCTAACATAACTTAGATTACATTGCTCCAAGATATATTCTAATGACTACAATGTTTTTAAAAAAAATGACACAATGCAATAAGATGTCTAAAATTATACTGAAGCCATCAAAAAAAATTCTAAAATTTTAAAATACTTGTCAATTTGACTAAAATGCATATTTACTCAATTTCCTTGAGCTTTTATTTTTTCTTCTCCCCACTGGAGGAGCAATGTCCATAGTAATTGTTCAACATTACTCTGGCTGTAGGCAGCTTCATCTTTAGTTTTCCTCGATTCCCCTTGCAAATAGTTTCATTAACTGGCAGTGAACCCTGAAAAATATGGAAATCAATAAGAAATAAATGACTACTACATATTTAATTCTAATAATCCACAAATTTAAAGCAGTTGGACAAAGTTCCTTGCTCCAGACTACAGAAACCATGCTCTCATACAATCCTCCCCTGCAAAGAAGGCTGGATGCTTTCATGTATGCATCACTCCTGTTACTCCTCTTTTCCACAAAAAAAGTTCTATGGGGCACTTAGATGAGCTGATCTTATGCAATATACAATATTTATAAAAATCACGTTGGACTGCTGATTATGTTTTAATGGAACACACTTGCATGTAAGTATTTTGTATTGTGGTTTTGGTTCCCTTTGTTCTAAACACAACAAAACCAACAATAATAATAAAAAAAAAACCACCCAGAAAAAAGCCCTTCAAATTTCACAAACCTCTATTCCCTTCTAATCTGATTATTTGTACAACTACAAACTTCTTTCTCCATATGCCAAGGCTGGAGATAAGACCCTGTGCTGTGTGTCAAACCCCACGAAGTATGGGACATAGTATTTATGTAAGACAAAGATGCTTCCTTAAGCTTAAATTTAACAAGAAAAGCTATTGCTCAGAGTAATAAGGTACTCCACTCATTCAAAAAAGAATCCTCCCAACACCACCTTCACTTTCAGCACTTCAAGCATATAGTATCAGTACCTAAGAAATAAGTAGGATTTCAAAGGTAGGGCCATCCATTTAGCTCAGAGTGATCATTTACAATATACATGATTGGAGTATTCTCTGGAAAGGACTCAAAAAAAGTAACAAAAAAAAAATTAAGTTTATTATCAGAAGACTCAAATTTGCTATGCAGAGGCACCGTCTTGGGATGTCTTTATGAGCATCTTTAAAATCAGTAAAAAGGCTTAATATGTTTTCTGGTACATGGAGAGAAAAATCGATGCTTACCTCACTTCAATTTCTGAACTGTCCAGAGTTTCTCCATCACAATTCCAGGTGCTATTAGCAATATTACAGCAACAGGCTGGATGATCTCTGCAGAACTGTCCAAAACGTTTCTTTCCTACGTCCATAACATTGCTTTCATTGTCTTCTGAAAGCTTTGACGTAAATTGAAAACTCTTCACCCGATGAACATCTACAAATGAGAAGTCAAACTACAAAGAAAAAACAGTCAATTAAAATTAGTTAAATACATTTATGTGTAAAGCAACTTAGCATGCAGCACTTTGTATTCAAGAAAGTCTGTCCACTGCAATTTTCTAGAAGCTTACCTGAGGCATAGAGGGATTTTTGTTTTTAAAAAAACTGCACAAGTCCGAAACAATAAAGCAAAAATGGAACCTTACTTTTCAATGGTCCTCCTCAAGTAGCTGCTGTACTGCTATAGATAATCAGGTAACACATTCTGAGATTATGAGTAAATGGGGTATAAAAACTATTTAAAAAACCCCTATAAAAACTACTATAACATGGAATCAAAAAGGTTTGGACTGGATCTTTGTAGCATCCTCAGGAGCTGTTCAACCACAGTCCTTAAGACACATGGTCTTTTCTGAAAGCCTGCTGCTTCTGCATTTGGAACAATGCCCTGAAGGTGAGAATTCCATGGCTGTGTTATCAAATTACAGAGCTGGGCGTATACGAAAATAAGAATAGAGGGCAATATTATTACATTCCAACATAAAAATATTTTTAACTAGTTAATTCAGCTAGAAAAAGTAGGATAATTAAGAGATTGCTCTTACAACAGAGGTTGCAGTTGTATACTACAATATTGTACAAATGCTTTAAAACAGGCTTTGTAATTAAAGGAACAATCGACTTAGAGGCAAGAATAGCACCATAAACAAGTGAGATTGATCATTGCTTTTATAACTGGATATGACATTAGTCCGTTGTTCAGATAATTTTCAGAACATGTTAATAATATCAGTTTGTGACAAATATTAAATGTGTGTATTCACAGCCATAGCTCTGGTTTCAACACATACTGCAATCCAAAGCAGTGATGAATCTTTCCTTGTAGTTTATCCTGACAGCTACAACATATGCAAGGAATAATTTTGAAGCTGAATGCATAAAGCTCATATCCTAGTCACATATATGTATTAAAATTCTGCTAAAAGCCTGCAGTTTACAATCAAACTGCAGTTCTGGTAACTTTCTTCTAAACCGCATTTTATACAGTTTACAAAAAGTGATTTATTATTCTTCACTACATCTTCTGCCTCAGCTACGTTATACTGCTGTGAGCAGTTTCTCATGACGAATACATGGGGGCACAGTTATGATAAAATCACTTTAAATATTGTCCAAACAGAAAATAGATGGAAAATGTTACGAAACAAATTCAATTAGCAGAAGTGGAATTTTGTTAGAATGCTATGGCCAAAGATCTGATGTAGCTAAAATGATTTTTTTTTTTTTTTAATGGTACACATGCTGAGATTATGCCACCCAAAACATATACACCTTTTTTTTTTTTTTTTAAATAACACCTGCTTTGTAGATGTTCTTTGTGTCATATAAGAATATTGATATTTACAACTTAGACTGACGCTGGAGAATTCACTGTCAAAGGGAATACACACCTGATCGTCTTCATTTGTATGTCTCACAAGATACCGTAGAAAATCAAATCTGGAGCATTTACGAACTAGAATGAGGTCAGCTGAACCATCTGCCAAATGAGCTGCTGGTGAAAGACCTTTTGGACTTCGTGGACAGGCACAGCTCATATTTACTGCATTGATGGCTAGAAATTTCCCTTTAATAACCTTCCATTCTTCTTCACCTTCTAAAACACATCAATAAAGGCATGGAGATAGGTTATTATTTGATCTACTCACAAGAACACTAAAAAGCAATCATTCTTGGCAACTTAAAAGTTTTCACTGGGCACATTCACATGCTGTCAATACATACCTAAAATAAACTGCATTTTAAAAAAAAAAAACCCTATTTTTCATATACTAACAGAGAAAGTTGCTTTCTCCCTTCACAGACTGTGATTATATACTGAAACTGCTCACCATTCCTGACATATGTATGTCAAATTCAGGATCAATGCTATTTGGGAAAACCCACGAAGCCTTAGGCAGGAACAAGACAGAGGCAAGTTACAAGTCTTGTAAGTGTGAAAGGTCAGGGGGATTTTTAACTTTTTAAAAATTTTGTTCTTGCTCTTCAACATGCTAATCTTTAATAAACAATGATACAAAGACAGTGGTTTAGTATTTGGTTTCTAAATCAATATTCCTCTTCTGCCTCAATGCCACAAATTATATTTAAAAAAAGAGGCAAAAAGGGAAGAGATGACTTGGGGTTCAGCAAGGACCAGCAGGCAGCAGATCAGGAGTCTGTTTCCACTCCACCCACAAACAACTGAAGATGAACATTATTAACGGGGTTGAATTTACCTGTGTGTACATCTTCAGGGATTTCTGGTAAACAATAGAAAAGTCTGTTTTCAACAAGTGAAACTGTTCTGTTAGAGATTAGACCTAGACTGAACTTAAATGTTCGATGGCACCAATACTACCAAGCGCAGAGGAATTTTCCGGAACAAAGAAACACTGGCAGGCACTGCACTGTCATCTAAACTGTTTTTTCTTGAATATGGATAAAAATAGATTAAAAAATGCCTTTGCATTTTTAGATTACACATAATAGCTTTCCTCACTATCATAAGAGAAAGCCATAAAGCAGCCATAACACTCCTTTTCTCCTCCCAATATAAGTGGACTCAGATACTTCAAATTAGTGACTCCAGAGAAGTAATGATTGCAGAATAGTCTATGAAGATAGACATAGATCTAAGACTGGAGTTCAGGAATGAAGTGCCATTGTTGATGATGGGGGTAAAACTAAGGAATGAACAAAAAAGTGATAAAGTTTGTTTAGATAAGCTTGTTAAAGTTTGGTCATCAAATCACAGCAAGGTAGAGGTTTTGAGGCATATTAACTGGTACAGACTTAGAAATCTAACATTATTCAGTTCCCCCACATTTGGGTTAACTTATAGTTATTTTCAAGGAGCTTCTTTGATGGGACTATAGATGACATTTATGCTACATATTTCATGTCCTGAAATTCCGATATTCTTTACTGTCTACGTTTTAGGAACTTCACATTTATTTTAGAGAACCATTATTACAATTGTCTAGGTAATTTTGGACCTAACATCTGTATTGCATTCATTTTTAATTCACTTCTTCCAAGCTTAATATATCAGACAAAGAAGAAAAAAAAAAAAAAGAAAAAAAAAGTTTGGAAAGTATTCTGTAGTTGTTCTTTGCTCTTTGACCTCTTCTTGCTTCCTTGAATCCTTATTCATTGGAACTTCTTACTATCCACTCTTCTTTAGTAACAGAACCAAGAAAAACAGAATTCCAGGAAAAATAGAGTAGGATTATATCGTGACAGAAGACTTAAAGGAAACTAAAAACTTTTTTTCTTTTTCCATCTAGACTATCCTATCTATCTCCTGATAAACAAATCAGTAATAACAAGAAAAAATGCAGCTCTTAAATTTAACATTTTGCATCATTTGCCAGAGTGGTTTTAGTATTGCTTCCTTTACTACTCATCTTTTTATGTCGCTTTCAAACAGGGCATTACAGAAAGAAACAATTTAAATCAGATGCAAAATGTGTATCTTAAGAGAGATGAGAAAAACTTAAATGTCAAACTATACAGAATGAATTTGTTCAGGCTGCAGGCAAATGACGAGGCCCTGCTCTGAGATGAAGGTAACTGAATAGAATGTAAGAAACTACTGGAACTGGAAACATCTGTGTCCAGAACCATACATGTGCTTATTTACAAGAAAACCAGGCATTTTCTGATATACAAAGAACAAAATGAAAACAACACTCTTTACTGATAAACGTTTTTGCTGTTTATCTGAGAAGCATTAATAATTTGGTCTATAGTGTGTCTAGATATGTGTTAACTTTTCAAGTATGCTCACTGTAATAAGTCTCAAATTACTTAAGGTAGAATGCTTATATATGTAACTGTAATAGATTGTTTTCACCGAGTGGAAAAGTACCATTTGGTATAAATTTCAGCACATTACTCAAAAAAGTTTCACTGTTCAAGTAAGAACAAAGTCAGGGTATTTATCACATTTTAAACAACCAACTGTTTTCACAACCATTCTGCGGGATGCATCACTGTAATAGCACAAATTACTTGCCCAAAATATCTTTCATACAATAGAGCAAGCATAAGCAAGGAGAGCATAAATGGCACTCATTTCAACTGTCTATTGTGTATATATACTGCAAGTTGCTGAAATCAGCATAAAGTTACAACACTCAAAGTTTACTTAGGACATGCACATAGACTTCTGCACAATACAAAGAAATATGTCCAGTGACAGTCAATGCAAGCATCCTTCTAAACTTACCCGAACTGTACACAAACCAAGTAGGCACAATGAAGGAGTCAGCCAATACATTCTGCTGAGTAAAAAGCTTATCTGAGGTGGCGATTTAAAATCATTTTTATTGCAGATCAAGAGTAGCTGATTGTTATTGTTTGCTTACCAGTACTGCATGGAGAAGAGACTGGACTGCAAAGAAAGCCAGCTACCAGAAGTAAAATGGATTTAAGTGAACAATATCCCACATAATCAGCTGCTTAATGTCTTGTGCAATGCTGGCTGAAGCAGTCTTGATTGCTCACTAACCTGTAGCTTTCTTCTGCCTTTGCTCCTTTGCTGGATCAAAGCTAACAAAATGGCAGGTTTAAAACAAACAAAAAAACCAAAAAAATCCCAAACAAAAAAACCCCACCTAAACACAAAAAACAAACCAAAACAAAAAAATACCAAAACCCTCCCCACTCCCCAAACAAAAGAAAAAAAGGTTGGCAATTTCTAGGTACAGTTATTTCCCAAAAAGATTTTTTCCTACCAAAAAACCTACTATCAGATTTAGCTCCTAAGAAAATATTATGTAAAGCAATTTCTTGAGCTGAATCTGGGCATAAATTAAAACAACTCAAGAAATACTCCAATCTGGCCATCTGTTGACTATATCAAAGAACTGAAAGCAGTAGCTGGGATGAAAGCACTACATATAAGCATGTGTAACAGGAATTCAAGTTGGCATAGAAATTTATATACAGTCTTTATGCTACCAATGAATCTCTATAGTACGAGGATACTCTTTTTGCTAACACACGGCTAGAACCTGGCACAAATACTGAGCAAAAGAACTGTAATTATAAGATAATCTAGGTCTTAAGGACCAATGTTTGTGTCAAGAAAATTACAGTTTTATGCACTGGGCTCTACAAGGAAGAAAAAGAAAAAGAAAAAAAAAAAAGAGTAAAAGCAGAAGCAAGCAGAAGCAAGCAGCCATGGGAAGGCTGCCTGCTGTTTAAAAAGGTTTAAGAGTTTTATCCAAGATGACGGACTGAGACCAGAGGCGAAACTCAGACAACTGAATCTGCATATCTTACTCCAGCAAGGCCACAAGTGTATCAGTATCAGTGCTTCCCATTAGGATGCAGTAGGCAGACATAAAAAGATACAGCTAGGAGGATGACTGCACAGAATCCAGTATATTAACAGTTGTTTTAACAAAAGGAAGGAAAAGTTATGCCCATAAAAAAATCCACAGAACTGTGCACAGGGGTTGGAACGGGGGGGCAGGGAATGGGGAAGAGAATAAGGAATAGTGTAACTTGAGGAAGAAAAGTCTCATTTATCATTTTTACTGAGTATTGGTGGGGTATTGTACAGAAATACTTAAGTTCACTAGATTAGCTATTAGTTGTCCAAGTTCACTGCCTCATATTTCTTTAATAAACAGCTTTACATAGGGTGACTTTTGTGCTAACAAACACAAATTTTTAATCCTGATCTATTCTGAAAGCCATCTTAATGAACCACTTCCTTCTATACTACCTCACAGTTTATCAGTTAAGTCCTTCTCACAACAAAGAAGAGGCCTAGCTCACAAAATATATCTTTCTTAAAGAAAAGAAACCCAACACATTGAAATATACAACTAACTAGTATAGTTTTCTCAGTATTTTCTGAGGTCTGGTTGGAGGAGGCACCTTACATATTTTTCACATATTTTCATGTATTTTCCTTAAAGAAGCAATGGATTATCTAGTAACTCACAATGTTTAAAAAACAAAACACACAGACACACTTGAACTGATATATTCTGAAAAATAATATTGTGTATAATACTACACCATCTTACTTTTTATGACAAATTACCTTCATGTTTTAATCCACATTCCTTGTGCTGCTCTGCCAGCTGTTGCTCACTTCTCTTGCAAATGTAACATCTGAAAACAAAAAAAACATTCAGTTCCTGAAAACAAAACTATTATTCAGTTTAACTTTTTTGTTTTACCCAATCATTACAGGACCTTTCCCCACCACAAGATGCAGCATGGGACTGACAACGCTGATGTGGCATGAATCATGACAGCCCTGCAGGCAGTTTAGGTACTCAAGTACAGTGCTGAAGATTACTGGATGTCAGAAATTAAAGCATTACAGAGCCATAAGATCACACAGGTTGGAAGGGGCCTCTGATGTCGTCCAGACCTCTGCTCAAAGAAGCTCTTACAGGATCAGGATGTTCAGTGTCTTGTTCAGTCAAGTTTTGACTATCTCCAATGGTAGAGTCCACAAGACCTCTGGGCAACCTGTTCCAATATTTGACTGCTATAACAGCAAAAGACATTGACATACTGGAGCCAGTCCTTCATCTCACAAGTGCTGAGTACAGGGAAAGAATCACTTCTCCTGACCTGTTGGCTTCTCTCTTGCTTAGAAAGCCCAGTATGCAGTTGGCCTTCCTTTCTGCAAGGACACACTGCTGACTCAGGTACAGCTGTTGTCCACCAGGATCCCGAAGTTCTTTTTGGCAGGGCTGCCTTCCAGCCAGTCAGTGCCCAGTCAGGACTACTGCATGGGACTATTCCACTCCACATACACGATGTTTGCCTCTCCTGAACTTCAGGAGGTTCCTATCGGCCATTTCTTCAGGCCACCAAGGTCTCTCTGAATAGCAGCCCGGACTTCCAACATGTAAACCACTCCTCCCAATCTGCTATCATCCATAACACTGCTGAGAGCACACTCTCTGCCACTGTCCCAATCATTAATAAAGATGGTGCACAGTATCAGCCCCAGTATTGATCCCCAAGGGACACCGTTAGTAACTGGCTGCCAGTTGGACTTGGTACTCACAACCTTTCTAGGTAGTCTAGCCAGTTTTCCGCCCATCCACTTATCTAGTCCATACCTCATCAGTTTGGTTTTAAGAATACTACAGGAAACGGTACCAAAGGCCTTGCTAAAGTCAAGGTATGTAACACCCACCATTTCCCCCTCATCCATGGGTTTAGGGACCTGTAAGGCCTGGGGGCACACTACATCAGTGAAAACTGGGGCAAAGGAGTAATTTTCCAGCCTTTTCCATATCTTTTATCACTAGGTTCCCCATACCACTACGCAGCAGGCCCACAGTTCCTTTAGCCTTCTGTTATGATCGGTATACTTACATAATCCCTTCGTAAGAAGTAACACCCTTCATATCCCTCACTGATTTAAACTCCGTCTGAGCTTTGGCTTTCTCAGTTCCATCCCTGCACATTTAGGCACTGTCTCTGTGTTCTTCTGGAGTAACCCATTCCACTTCCACCTTCTCTTCACTTCTCAGATCTTTGCTCACCCATATGGGTTTTCTATCATGCTTACTCAAGTTTCTGCATATCAGAACGGACTGTTCTTGTGCTTTGAGGAGGTACCAACCAACTCTCCTGGGCCACTTTGTCCTCCAGGGCAGTCTCCCATGGAATCCTGCCAAGATTCCTGAATAAACCAAAATCTGCTCTCCCAAAATTCAGGGTTGCAAATCTACTTTTTGTCTTGCTTACTTCTCTCAGGATTTTAAACTCTATAATACCACAGTCACCACTGCCAAGACTGCCCTCAACCATCACATCCCTCACTTTCCTTTTCTGTAACAAGATCAGCAGAGCATTTCTCCTAGTTAGTTTGTCAATCACCTGCACGATCACTGTCATCACCACACCCCAGGATTCTCCTGAATTGCTTGTGCCCAGCCCTACTGCCCTTCCAGCAATTATCAGGATGTATAAAATCCCCCATGAGGCATCAGGCGCTCTTCACTCCCTGACTGAGACCCAGATGACAGCTTTCTCCCTCTGGAGCTTCCCCTGCATCAAGGCACCTGATGGATCAGGATAGTTGCTCCACCTAGTACTGGAGACCATGACCTGCAGCATGTCCCAGCACTATTATTACAGCACTATTATTACAGCATAGTCTCAACAAGTTCCATGTATTTTCTGGCCAAAGTTTCTGGCTCCTCTGTATCCTGCTGTGCTGTTTGCTGCTGTGAAACTACTATACCTCTCATAGCTACATTCATATATGAAGAAGAATAATAAATACTACTGCATAACTTCAAACAGGTGAAAGCCAAGAAAAAGGAAGGAACACTGGGAGATTAAGGTAGGCCCCATGATTGGAGAAACAACTGAAGAATATCACACAGCATTTATACAGCATAGTAGTAGTCTATAAAGGCTAAATAGGCTGATTCCTGAGAGGACGTATGCTCAGGACAAGCCATGCCAGCTGCTGTCATGGCACTAAAACAATCACTAAAATTGCTAGATCCAATTACAATGTGAACATTTGAGAAATTTTTAATAATTATTTCCATTTGTAGAAGCTACGAGGCATCCACACCTTTCATTTATTAGCAGTAACACAGCATAGCACTCTCAGCATCTTGTAACTGAGTACTATGCTGTTACACTTTGCTTCATTTAAAATTTGGGGGGGGG